TACCCACATCTCTTGCCTGTATCCTCTGACCTCACCTGGCCTCCGTCTGTCTTTGTGCTCATCTCTTCCCCCATTCATCCCGCCCCCGGCAGTCGGTGCACCTGGAGGCCTCCCTCATGGATGCCCTCCTGAACGACCGGCCCGAGTTCGTCCGCCTGCTCATCTCCCATGGCCTCAGCCTGGGCCACTTCCTGACCCCGATGCGCCTGGCACAACTCTATAGCGCAGCGCCCTCCAACTCGCTCCTCCGCAGCCTTCTGGACCAGGCGTCCCATGGCGCGGGGACCAAAACCCCAGGCCTTAAACCCTCTGTGGAGCCCCGACTCCCTGACGTGGGGCACGTGCTTCGGATGTTGCTGGGGGAAATGTGCGCGCCGAAGTACCACTCCTGGGCCTCCGAGGATCCCCGCCACGACCATGGCTGCAAGGAGAGTCACCAGGGCCACAAGGAGAGCGTAAGGACGGGGGCCAGGCTGGGTAGGAGAGACCCGGAAAACTTGGGGGCGGGTCTACGCCGGGAGGGGGCGGGGCCAGAGACTGGGGGTGGCGCTGTTGATTTGGGCGGAGCCAGGCAGGAATCTGGGCGGGGCCAATCCTCACCACGCCCCTTCGCCCACAGACGCAGCTGCTCTCGGTCAGGGCCGCCTCGGATCTCGCGCTGGACGCCGTCCTTGGGCAGACTCCCTGGAGTGACCTGTTCCTCTGGGCACTGCTACTGAACAGGGCTCAGATGGCTTTGTACTTCTGGGAGTTAGTGAGTGCTGACTTGATCTGTGATTCTACTCTCTCTTACGTCCTTGACCTTCAGTTTGACAAGACTCCGATGTCCCTGCAATACGATTGATACCCTGACCTCTGAAGTCACCCTGACCCTCATCCCGTTTTCCATCCCTGATATATGACTCCGACTGTTGCTTCTTCCTTTAGTTCTTATTCCCCCGCCCCCCCCACCCCCATACCAGGCATTTCTTGTAACTTGCCTTTTCTCTTAACAACATATACTGGGCACTTTCCCTTATTCATACGTGTGATTCGATCTCATGATGCCTGTATGAGGAAGTTAGACGTTATCCTGTGTCCCACGGGGAGTCCTTTAAACACCGGTACACTTGCAATTTAGATATGTCAATCATTGTAGCTGCAGTGTAGACCGGGACAAAACTAGAGTCAAGAAAGCCAGGTAAGAAGGTGGAGCTGGGGTCCTCCAGGCAGCCAGGTGGAGGGCCCGGACTCCAGCAGGTGAGCTAGAGCTGTTGGGACACATTTGAGAAGTCTGAGGAGTTAAAACAAAGTAAATAAAAGAGTTATGGGATTCAAATAGGATCTAAGACAGCTCTAATTTTTACGCCATAGAAGTCTTGACAGGACTTCTTAAGCCTTGGGTTGTTTTCAGCCTATCAGGTCGGGGGTTACATATAGACTTTTTTTCACTGAGATGAAGTTCATATAACATAAAATGCACCATGAAAGTTATTTAAAACTTTATAATTCAGTAACTTGAGTACAGCCACCTCTATCTAGATCCAGGGCATTTTCAGCACCCTAAAAGGAAGAATCCTGTTCCCCTTAGGCAGTCACTTCCTTTACCTCCTGTCTCCCACCCGGGCAACCACTGACCCGCTTCCTGTCTGTGTGTGTTTGCCTCTTCCGGATATTTTATGTAGATGGGATCATATAACGTGTGGCCTTTTCCATCTGACTTCTTTCGCTTAGCACACTGTGTTCATGGGTCTCCATGTAGCACGCGTCAGAATTTCCTTCCTTTTTAAGGCAGGATAATATCCCATTGTATGATATACTACATTTTGCGAATCCATCCATCTGTTGATGTCGTGAGCTGTTTTGACTTTTTGGCTATTGTTAATAATGCTGTCGTGAGCATTGGTGTACAAATATTTGTTTCAGTCTCTGCTTTTAGTTGTTTTGAGTACATACCTAGGAATGGAATTGCTGGATCACAAGGTAATTCTAGGTGTAGTTTTTTTGTTTTTTTGGTTTTTTTTTTGAGGAACCACCATACTGTTTTCCTGGGTGGCTGTACCCTTTTACATTTCCATCAGCAATGCACAAGGGTTCCAATTTTTCTATATCTTCACCAACACTTGTTATTTTCTGTTTGTTCGCTCTGGCTAATTGCCATCCTAATGGGTGTGAAGCGGTATCTCACTGCAGTTTTGATTTGCATTTCGTTAATGATTAGTGATGTTGAGCATCTTCTCACGTGCTTATTGGTTACCTATGTGTCTTTGGAGAAATTTCTATTCAAGTCTTTTGCCCATTTTTCAACTGAATTGTTTGTCTTTTTTGTTGTCAAATCGTAAGAGTTCTTTATATCTTTTTGGATATTAATCCCTTATTAGATATAGGGTTTGCAGATATCTCTTCCCTTCTATTCTGTGGGTTATCTTTCACCTTGTTGATAGTATTCTTTAATGCACAAAAGTTTTAAATTTTGATCCAGTCCAGTTCGTCTATTTTTTCTTCAGTTGCTTACACTTTTGGTGTCACATCTAAGCAACCATTGCCACATCTAAGGTCATGAAGTTTTATCCCTGTGCTTTCTTCTAAAAGTTTTATAGGTTTACAATTATCTGTTATAGTTATTTAATCCTACGTGTTGATTTTATCGAGATTCTTTGTGTGTAATGAGTCATTTCTCCTTTGCTGTTTTCAAGATCTCTTTGTTTTTTACTTTCAACAATATGATTAAAATGTTTCTCAGTGTGGATCTCTTTGAATTTTCCTATTTGGAGTTCCTTGATCTTCTCAGATGTATAAATTCATGTTTTTAATCTAATTTGGGAAGTTTTAGGCCATTACGTCTTCAAATATTCTTTCGATTCCTTTCTTCTATCCTCTTTATTTTGGACTCCCATTATGCAGATATTGGTATGTTTGATGTTGTCCCACAGGTTTCTTATGGCCCGTTTATTTTCTTTCTTATTTTTTCTTTCTGCACCTCAAACTGGATAATCTCAATTGACCCATATTCCAGTTCATAAATTCTTTCTTCCGCCACCTCAAAGCTGCTGTTGAGCCTTTGCAGAAAAGTTTTTATTTCAGTTATTTTCACTTTTCAGCTCCAGAATTTCTATATGGTTTCTTTTAATACTTTCTCGCTCTTTATTCATATTCTCTATTTGGGGAGACATTATTCTTTCGGCTCCTTTATTTGATTGTCCATGATTTCCTTTAGCTTTTTGAGCATATTTAAGAGAGTTGATTTAAGGTCTTTGTCTAGTAAGTCTAGAGTCTTAGCTTCCTCAGGGACAGGTCCTATTAATCTCTTTTTTCTCGTGAACGGGCCATACTTTCTTGTTTCTTTGCATGCCAAATAATTTTTTGTTGAAAACGGGACATTTTGAATATTATAATATGACAATGCTGGAGATCAGCTTGTCCCCTCCCTCCAGGGTTTGATTTTGTTTCTTGTTGTGGTTTGTTGTTGTTGTTTGTTTAGTGACTTTTCTAAGTTATTTTTGTAAAGTCTCTGTTCTTTGTGATGCGTGGCCACCGAAGTCTCTGTTCTGTTATTAGGTCAATGACAAGCTAGTGACTTGACAGAGATTCCTTAAATGTTTGGAGCGGGAAAAACAAAAAACAAAAAAAACCCGAAACCCTCCCAGTTCGCATGTTTGCTCTGTGTTGGAGCTGTCTTTCAAAACTTAGGCAGGCTGTTTACAATTCTGCCTTAGCCATCGCTTTCTGCTTTTGTTGCCTAAAGGTCAGCCAGGAGTGAAAGCTTAGGGTTTTCTTTAGTCTTCACTGAGCACGCATCTAGTCTCGGTCGTGCATGCAGTTTTCCTGGTACACATAGGAGCTTTTCCAACCCCTTATTCTCCCAAGTGTCTCCTTCCCCAGCCACTTCCCTCCAAAGTTCTTCAGTGTATCTATTACTAGCCTAGGCTGTTATTCTTTGCCATAGGGAGCCGAGGCTAAATACTTTTATTTTAAAATGCTTTCAAGCATCACCTGGGAAGCCACTTCTGTCCTGGGGAATATTCAAGAACAGTGAAACAAAGGCAAGCCCCTGAGCTGTTTCTTCAGGGAGCCACCAGCTGGGGCCACACACACAACCGCAGTTACTTAAGAATAATATCTGAATTGCTCCTTCTGGTACCCAAAACGCACACCTGCAAGGCTGCCACCGAGCTGGGGAGTTGGCCATGGTAAGCGGGTTCGTGAAAATGTCACAGTGCTCTTTTACTAAAATTTAGCAGTTTCTTTCTTCATTAAGCATTTTCCTGTTTATTATAAGTTTTATACCGGATTCAGGAATTGTGAAAAAATTGATTCTGACAGTTTTTGCCAGCTTATTTGTTGCTTTTGTGGAGGGACGGATGTTTGAAGTTCTCTACTCGGCAATTTTAGGTGACATCTCCAACTGCTTCTTGTCTATAACTTCTGGTGTCATTCTAACTCCAGCTCAACCCCTGGCCTCTGAACCACCTGACTTCTGACATTTTCAACTGATGTCTAGTTTCTTCCAGATCCTTCTACAAACATTACTTTATCCTTGGCCTCTGTTGACACCTCCCTTGATTACAGGCGTTTTTCTCGCCCCCACCCTCTGTGACCCTCACTCCAAAATCCGATCCTACCCATGACAGCTCTTTTTGTCTCTCCAGGGATCCAATGCTGTGGCCTCAGCTCTTGGGGCCTGTTTGCTGCTCCGAGTGCTGGCGCGCCTGGAGTCTGAGGCCGAGGAGGGAGCGCGGAGGAAGGACCTGGCGGCCAAGTTTGAGGGGCTGGGTGTTGGTATGTGGGGCCTGGGTGCCTGGGGGCAGGGACAGGGCGCCTCCGCGAAGCGGGTGAGCGCGTCTCCCCACTCCTCTCGTAACCCTGCCCCTCCCTTTCAGGCCCCTCATCTCTCCCCTCGCACCACCTCTCTACTCGCTTCTCTACCTCTGACATAAATCCCCTGCCCCCCCCAGACCTCTTTGGCGAATGCTACCGCAGCTGCGAGGAACGGGCTGCTCGCCTGCTCCTCCGACGCTGTCCATTCTGGGGGGGTGCTACCTGCCTCCAGCTTGCCATGCAGGCCGATGCCCGTGCCTTCTTTGCCCAGGATGGGGTACAGGTGAGTATCTGAGACACCAACATCCCGAGCAGCCCTCGCTGGACTCTGGGAGCTGTGGAGGATAAGCCCCTGGCGTCGTGGGCAGTCTGAGGTCTTGACCGGTCCCGCCCCCCGGAGGCCACGCCTCCTCCAGAAAGTCTCCTCCCTCTCAGAAAGGCCAGTCTTCCCATAAGAGGCCCCTCCCCCTGCCACGAGAAAGCCCACCTCCCCACAGCAAGGCCAACCCTCTTAAAAGGTTCCACTCCAGGTACAGGAATTCCCGATGACTCTAATGGGAAGTTCCAAGTCTCACCCGCAGAAAACTCTTCCCCCTCCCTTAAGAGATCGCCAGTGCCAGGTCTCGGCAATTAGAATGACCTCACCAGCCAAGCTCTGGTTCCGGAAATCCCAGTTTTCCTGCAGGAAGCCCTGCTTGTCCCCTACAGCTCCCCCATCCTGCCCACCCTGACGTTTTGCACTTTCTCAGCATCCTTCATCTAAATCTGGAGTCCCACGGAGTCCCACCCTCAGGACAGGAAATTCCGCCTTCCCAATGGGAAGTCCCGTCCTCAGCTGTCGGAATGATTGGATTGTCATTTCAAGGAACCACCCAGAGTTCTTTGCTTTGAATGGTGCTTCAACTCATAGGTTCCATTCTGTGCCCCTTCCTTAACCGCCTTGTGCCCCACCTGTGAACAGGGAGAACATCCTAGTACCTGTCTTCCTGGCGGTGTGGTGAGGGTTAAATGAGCTAATCTCTGTCAAGTGCTCTGCCCGCTTAGTACCTGGCATATTGTGTTAATAATTGTTGCCTGTTTAACTCTACGAGCTAAAACCTGGGACAGTTGGTCCTTGCCTTCGACCGCCTTCCCCCCCACCCCGATAGTTTTGGTCCCCACATCGAGCACTTGCTCTGTGCCCTGGAGCTGTGGTCCAGTTCTTGCCTGGGTCCTTGGGAGGGGGCAGGGGAGAGATTCGGGGTCCTAATCCTTCCCACGCTCCACAGTCTCTGCTGACTCAGAAGTGGTGGGGGGAGATGGACAGCACCACGCCCATCGGGGCCCTGGTTCTCGCCTTCTTTTGCCCGCCACTCATCTACACCAACCTCATCACCTTCAGGTCAGTCCCTTGAGGTTAGACTGGCAGGAAGGGAGCTGCTCAGCTTCCCTTGGGTGCTTCCTCCCCCCCGCCCCCCCTCCCCTGGTCCCGTTCACTCTCTTTC